TTTAGAAACACGTTTATAGTCTCTGATCTATCACTTCTTTCAGCATTCAAATTAAATAACTGCAAGTTACAATTACGTACATCCTGACAAAGTGTGATACTCTTCAGTTAACAGAATAGGTTTTTTCAAATGGGTAGAACACTCTCACAATGTTAACACACAACAAGCTCCTGCTAGGCACAGCAGGAAGTGTGTAAATAAAACATTTGTTTTCACAGCATCACTTCTTGTGACAGAAAAACAAAAAACAAATAAAAGAATGATTCTATAACTAAACTAACACCTTATAAAGGTATTAATCCCATACTAACCAGTTTCTCCAGCTGGGTTACATAAAGTAAAAAATACACATGTGCACATAAGCATACACATAAACAAAGAAAGCAGAGAAAACTCCAGTAATCAGACGATTCCCTACAGTATGAGCAAGAACTCTGACATTAGTGAGACCCTAAAAACTCCCTCATAAGTAAAAACACATCCATAACCACCCAGGCTTTGGCCTCCATCTGCCATGAGCGGTTGGGACTGAGGGGAGGGAGACAAGCCAAAAGATATGCTGGAGCCAGAGACCATTTCCTGCTAAACAGATGTTTCTGAAGTAGTGCAGATTGGATCTCGATATATCTGTCATTGATTTATTTTACCGTGCGAAAAGAAAGTGTGAGAAGGGCTCCAGCCTTTCCCCATGAAGGACAGAGTGTGGGTGGATGAAAAGCAGGCTCATTTAGGTTAGAGAACATTAGAGCTGATGTGAGAGGCTCAAAGGCCTCTCACCCAAACGTTGCAATCCAAAGTTGTGCAGGCCCGGTTCATATCAATCATTTAAAAAACAAAAAATAAAAAAATAAGATATTAGGTCAGTACCAGGTAACCCATGAGGAACATATATTAAAAAAGACAAAGCAAATTTATTTTAAAAATTTAGTTATAAAACAAAGCAAAAAAAACAAAAAAAACAAAACAAAAAAACAACCCTAAATAATCTCGGTCTAAAGTCGTCATCTCCATGGTAGTATGGACATGGTTTGAGAACAACTCTCGTTTAATCCAAACAGTTTCTTGCCTTTGTTGATAGCTATTATAAAATAGCTCTTGTGTTTTTGAACAGGTGATGGATGAGCTTGTGCTTTCATTAATAAAAGAAATAAATCGTGTCTCATGTCTCCTGTATGTGGTGTTAAACAGGCTAATACTGCTGCACTTTAATGTCAGTAGTTCAAAAGCCATTATAGTTTATGATGTGGGACTCACTGTGGAAAGTTTGAGAACTCCTGATTTAGAGCTTTAAAGCTTTAAGAGTAAAGACCTGTAACTAAGGGTCAAAGGTCAAGTGAAAGCAGGCATGTGCTGAGTAGAGCCACCTCTGCTGCCACCTACTGGCCTTTATTAAGCAGTGACTGATGCCTGCACACAGTGCTTCCAGTCACTGGCCACTTTATTGGGTACATTTGATAGTAATAAGCTGAAACCCTTTTCCTTTACAAACTGCCTTCTTTATTATAGTATAGATTTAACAAGCTGGTGGAAACATTCCTCAGAGGATTTAGTCCATACTAATATAAAAGCATCACACGACTGCAACACATTTGTTGGCTGCACATCCATGTCTGCTGGAAGAGGAGAGGGAGGTCTGGGCTTCTCTCTTTAAAGAGAGACTGATGGATGGATGAACAAGCTTCATATGAGTATATCAGCACTGGCACAATAGACTGCCTCTAATTAGTTTACATTTTCGAAATGTCTTCAAAGTTTCTTCAACCAACAAAAGAACGAAGGAAAATGTGTAGCTTTAATGTAGTTCTTCCGCTGGTCTTGTTAAGATTCAAGGATTCAAGGATCCTCGCCGAGATTTTCTGCAAAGGAAACAAAACACCTTTTCCTGCATCTCCCTAACTTATCCTATTTGGGACTTCTGTAATCAAAAGCATGATCCTAATTATCTTCTTAACTTATTGACTTGTATTTATATATTCTTCAACGTCACTCATTACTTTAAAACTCTATTTTTCCCTTATCTGATCATCAACATCCTGTCAAGTTCCTCCCTAATTTAAGTCACCTTTTTAACAAAAAATCATTATAACCAGCCTATTCTACTAAAAGCTCCTAAAGAAAAACAAGCACTTTAATCAATTAAGTTTAAGCATATAAGCAATTACTCCTGTATACATTTCATCATAGCTAAATGCTGCCTTGAAACAACTCCTGTGTGTTAACACTAACTTCATTTTAA